GTCAGGATAGCCACGAATGACTCGTCACCCTCGTTGAAGAACACAGGATAGAAACCATCGGGACCAGGTGCTGTATTGTGTACTTGCCTTGTCCTTGACGGACTGGTTTTGACGTTCCACCCCAGGTTAATTTGGTCCTTCCAGGTGCGAAGTTGATGAAGGGCACCGTTGCATCATGATCACCAGAAACATGAGGAATAAAATGCCAGACATCTAGGTCCGTACCGAGCGTTTTGACATGTATGACAGAACTGAGGATTTGTGTGCCTGGTTCGGGACACAGTGAGCATCAATCGGAAGGGGGGATAAGTTCTGAGCAAGAGCCACCTGTTTTTTATTTTGACACAGATTATAGTCTCTGTAGGTAGCCGTGTAGACTAGATCCTTTGAATCTCATAAAGTTTTACTTTGTTCTGTTCTACTGGACACTAGCTTAGGAAAGGAACAACGGTTAGGTGGTTGATTGCTAGGTGACACTGAAGGTCTTGGGTAAGAGAGTTGCGAGCAGGAGTCAATGCGTGGATAACTGTAGTGGCGAATGATACTTGTGTGTTGTCCAGACCGAAAGGGGTTTGGTTGAGGTACTCCAACGTGAGCCTTTGATCTTGGCGTCTGGCCCATAAGGTAGTCTGCAAATGTAGGTTTTATTCGGGACCCTTCTCCTACCCTTTTGCTCAGAAGTGTGAAACGCGGGGTAGTGTGTGTTAGGGTTCTACTGAAGTACCCTCCATGGAACCGATAACTGAAGAATCTGACTCACTTGGCTGTAGGGAGCTGACCAGACCGCAGGACATAGGGAGAAACGCCCAACTGTCTGACTGAAAATACGGGTGCACACAGCGCATGCCTTTTGAACAGCCTCAGGATCATTAGTTTCAAAAGTATTTCGACCGTACTGAATAATGCTTTAGCGTTTACGGTCAAACGATCGAAGTGCAGTTTTTGCAATAGATGTCTTCTGATCCGTCCTTCCTCGGCGAAGGCAGCATCGCTCCTTCCATGACTATAGCTTGAGAGGGAAGTATCAGGAAGGTGAGATTCCTAGAAGCAACTACTGAGTGCTCGAAATCTACTGAGACTCTCAACTCCGCTAGATGTTGGCCAGACAGACAACACCCCCTCAGTATGTAGCGCATCACAGCCTTGTATCAAAGCCAGACAGCGCGAGTCAGCGTTGATCAAGGTCAAACAACGCCCCGGCAATATACAGCAGGTCACAGCCTAGTACCGTGCGTCCGCATTGGACCAAGTTATTGTCCCTCCAATAAATGGCTTGAGACCCTTCTACCTTCGCACTCGCACACACTCACGCTCTCGCACCTGTACTTCCTCACTCGCACACACTCACGCTCTCGCACTCGCTTGTGTTTGGACTGTAGCTGTTGTGTTCCCTTCTGTGATTCTTTTTTCGGCACTAGGCAGTGAAGTAGTCAGATGAAACAGATTGGTAAATCAGCAGATATAACAGTTTTACATTAGAGACCAGTAGGCTCCGGAAATAGGGCACACTAACAGGTTAGTCTAGTTACTTCAGTTACGAGGATTTGAGCTGGAGGTCGCAAACAACTCGCACGTTCAATGTGATTCCTTCGGACACATTAATCGACCACCGCAGATCACGTTACTGTGGAACCAGCCCAATAACTTTCGCCATCATGTAAATCTACCAGACTGCAACCTATTTTTGGAGGGTAACAGAGTGGAATAATCGGATATGTCGCAAAAACGAGGCGGCTGCACGTTTCTAGGTCACGTAGTCCTCAGACTGGACTGTCTAGGTTGTCCGGTGTTGGGAAAGTGCACTAAAGAACAACTAATCCCAAAAAATGCGGTTGGTACGATATTGACGTATTGTACGTGCGTTTGTTAGCATTTTCTTTGAGCACTGGATGACATAGCGACTGGGCACACACAATGAATTCCTTTTTTTGAAGATGAATATGAAGATTACTGTTATGTGTTATATCCAAGCGTCATTAGCTACTACTGATTTCATTTCGTCCTTTAGGGAAACGCAAGCGTGAATTCATTACCGGAGAATTTCAGGTTCCCATGAGTTTCGCTATGTATTATTAGTGTTCTCTTTTGTTAACAACAAAAACCACTTGGTAAATNTGTTCATCACAGAGACACTAATGAAACCGGTTTTGAGGGCGTGAGTTTACAACAACTAGGTGCACCTTAGTCAAATACAATACAATACCAAAAACAGAAAGGTTCAAACGAAAGACTTATCGTTCCGAGTGTGAATTGCAGTAGTTCCACCGAGTTCGTTTGGGTGCAGATAGTTGTGTTTCTTTCGGCAGATTCCCTGCTACACGATCCTGGTTGTCCGCAGTTTTTGGTGCTTGAACCGGTCTGTGTTCCGACGGGCGAGTGATGCGTCTGTGTGTGTTTGATTGTGTTCTGTCCTTATATACAGGTCGTTGCAATGAGTGGGACATGAAAACAATGTGAAATCACCAGGTGTCGTTCTAAAAGTTATGAAACGGGAGTTGACATATTGTCGTATTCATGTCACGATTTTGACGCGTAATTGTGGGACAGACAAAATGGAATGGGGGTGAAATTGAACGGTGAGAAATTGATTAGAGGAATAATTAAGCAGAAGGGTAAGCCTTACAAATACTCCCCCTATAGAGAGGGAGTCCAGACAAGTCACGTCTTGTCTCGTGGTGCATGCTGTGGGGTGTAGAACAAAACAAGACACGAGGAGACAGTGGATGCGGATGCACTGATCAGATTGGGCAACCGTTACAGTAACACTCACATGGAAGTTCGAGATTTCGTTCCGACGCCATTCACACTTTGGTTTTTTGCGGACATGCTAAAATGTCACAAGTGGAATTGTGTCTTTCAGCCTTCCAGTAGAAAGCCCGTCTGCTGTCTAGTGTTTTATAACGTAGGTAATATTTCAGGCGATTTGGAATGTCTAACCACAGTGACCGTTTATTCTTTCTCATGTTAACCTTAAAGTACATGAGCAGCGTCTTATTCGTTTACCTTTCTGAAGTAGCGAAATGCTCCGCGGTTCACAAAAAGGTTCTGTGCTAACCCCGAGTAGGGAATCAGTGCCGTAAGTGAACAGCACAGAGTACCTCTGAGAACGCCCTAGTACTGACCCACTGACGAATGTTGTTAGCCCCAGTTTGCTAACCTCGACGATATGATCACATGTCTTTCGAATATCATTTGATCGCTTGCTGAATGTTTGTCCTCGCATGACACGATGTGACATGCCGGATACTCAGTAACTTATCAATAGAGTAATGACTGTTTAATTCTGTATATGAGAAACGATCATATTTGTTTTGCTATGTTTGACGGAGTGAAATGTTTTGTTGATTCACATGTGGTAACAATTGTGGGTAGAATGATCGGTGATACACGAGATCACGTTTGTGTGCTGACTTTGTTGAGCGCATCCCGAAGTATGTGAAACGATACACACTAAGCAATCAGCTGATCACGTGGGCCTGAGTATAATCGATTGCACTATGGCTGACTCTTGACCCACGCACAGTCGGTCACACACTTGGTACACAATCTGACAATTACGAATCCCAGAACTCGCCAAGACGATGCAAACACTTCGCTGAGGAATACACATCAGTGATCAGCGTGGTGTGTGCAACAGGTACCGGGATGCAGGCAAGCGTCTGCTACAAGTAGTCAGTACTGACGTATTCGGTTACTTCGCCTTTGTTTCCTCATCTGAAGACTAATTTCTTGAATTTCGGAAGCTGCACAGGTGGGTAGCTATCCTGCTCTTTGTCATCACATCCAGAAGTTTAGTTAGCATGTGTTATTCTGTGCCTGTTCGGAGTGAGCTGAAAATATCTGGGACCAACCACAGACAGTTGAACACACTGTCCAGTACTAAAGAAGAACATGTGTCTAAGACGATGGCGCAAACTCTAGTCCTGTTAATAACTGAACGGGAATACAACAGGGAAACTATTTCCTGCAAGTTATCTCTGAGAGAAGCGTAAGTAGTAGGCATAGGAAAGGCTTGATCGCTAGTTTGGCTGGACGTTTGACGAAACAAGGATCTATATGCATTCGAATGTGTTCAGAGATGTCGAGAAGTAGAGCGGAACATCTGCACAAGGAAGGTCCTCACAAAACGGTGTGAGGAACTAAGGTGAGAATGGTGTGACAAAATCTGATGGGACGACATTTGATCGATATGTGGTGCGGTCGAAACTCAAACCCCGTTAATGAGCCTAGTGTTATTCCGATTCGAGAGATGCTCGCATGTTCTTCTCGTCTGCTCACCATATTCTGCTTTAAAAAGGCAAAGCGAAGCCTACTCAACCATAATTTTGGTGTATACCTTCAGCTTGTCTTTGAAATTAAAGTTGACGATAGTTTTGTAGCAAAACCAGAGTTTTTCGTAAAGATTCGGAGATACGGTGATTGACTAGGTCTGCGATGAGGCGGGTGTGATAGACCCAGACAGATTTATTTTCCCACAGGGTTCGTTATGCCGGTCCAACATGTCCACAGTGTTTTTTGTAAATTTTCCTAGATGACCACTACCTCAGCAATGTTTATCAGGCCAGTGCCCTCAGAGCGGACCTCAATCAGTTAGAGTGTGTTTCAGAGCCCTTTCTGTCTCATCAGTAAAAAGCGTTGAAGTTCATGTATTTTTCACTTTATGAGAACTTCCTGCAAGCAGATATCCACAAAAAATACAAATTATGGTTGTACATGTGCTCTCTTTTGTAAAAAAAGTGTTGGACGCACGATACAGTAATTTGACTAGCAGCTTTCATAAAGGAAACTACTCACAAGGTTGCTGAAAAATCTTCGACAGCCCATGACCAGGTTCGCCCTTCTTGGGGCTCATCAGGTAGGCGCAGTCCCCGAGTTTCCGTCAACCTTATGTTCTACTTGAACCCAAATTACACTGTTTTCAAGAAATACACCCATTTGCAAGTCAATCTGGTTTTCATGGGAAACTCAACTGAATCTCTCTTTTATACTGTCATCTTATGATGTTTTCAGCAGCCTTGTGAGTAGTTTCCGTTATGAAAATATACTGCGATATCTCGAATATCGTCCCAACTGAAACGTGAGGTGGCCTGTGTGCAGCACTTTCAGTTGTAGAATACCATAAACGAGAGATTCAGTTGCGTCTCTTGTGAAAGCCAAGTTGATTTGCAAATGAGTGTAGTTCTTGACTAGCAGCTGTTATTCCAGGATAACTCGGTAACGCAGTCTAAAGTCCAGTCACCTTGAATAGTGTTGCGACTGGCCATATGGTCAACACAACCTTATCGTTACAAGGCTTGTGGACCGTGAGTACCGATCAAGGGGTTCTCTGAGAATATTGGAAACACTAATGATAAACAGAAACGAGCAGGCACCATGCTATCGAAAACAGTTCGTATGAACTTTGAACATGTCTTGGTCACGTGATACACTGTTAGATCCACTCACTCAGTAGCCTGTGATTTTAGTTTTCCGTTCATTCGACTGTTCCGCTTTTCTCCGCTTTGTGCAGCTGCTGGACAGACATGAACTGCGCACTTTTACCACCATCATTATATTATGAGGATAAGATGTCGAATGCAGTGCAGGTGTAATGGCGATACTACTTGTATGGAAGCACGTGAGTAGTATGTGCTGTTCGTGGAATTTCGCTTTGCGTCTCTTGGAAAGGGGAGATTTGTTGCGGAATTTGTGGAGTCGCTTTGTAACATGTGATTGGATTTGAGCGAGGAATGATTGGGGTCAATGATTATCCAGCAAAGTTCAAGGAGACGCGTTCAGGAGAAAATGGATGTCCAGTTTTTATGAATAAGATGCAAATGAGAGCTTGCATCCCTGTCCAATGGTCTTTAATCGGTCAGTTGGCATTTTTCAATAAACAATTCCGCACCGAAGGCCTTATTTCTTTCACTGGTAGTGTTTTGTGCTCTTGACCACACTGTGGAATTGCTCCTGTATTTGCCGAATTCTCTGAAATTCGGGTTTAACTACAACATAGCGTTGACGGAAACTCAGGGATCGCACCTAAATGATGAGCCCCAACAATGTCGAAACCGGTCACGTGCTGTCGAAGTGTTCCTAGGATCCTTGAAGACAAATAAATAAGCACCGTGTAGAAGAAAAATATACATCACCTGGAGTAGTCAAACCGACACGTTTGCAAACTGTTGGAAATGGCGATGTGAAAAATAAGGTGGGGAAGGCTGGCTAGCCTTATTCAGAGGACCACAGGAAACAGTACTTCACGGTCACGAGATTCTGGTTCGAGAGTATTAACTTCATTCACGATGTAACCATGACTTTCTCTCACGTGAGCGACATTGTGCTACAAGATCGTCTAAAGTTATATGTTATAAGAGAGTTTCCACTGGTCGCCTGTTCTGTTTGCTTAGTTCACCTGAGATATTCACCATAACATCCGGTTGAACTCCACGTCCACGATTTAGTGGCTAATGAGCCTTTCATGTGGGTCGATGGCTCGTTGAATAAGTAACTTGACTGAGTAGAATTGTGTCTAATTTGTGGTAGCTCGGGTGCGTTTATTGGTTGTTGGCTTGGTTTGTTGATGTGTTCGCAAAGCCCGGTAGTTAACTTGCAAACCATTAACTCGAGCCATCATTCCAGGTCATGTGTGATTGTAGCGTTATTTTTCACTACTAACTACAACCAAGTAATGAGAAAAAAGCCGCATTTCCTCTTCCACTGGGTATTATCGCAAAGCCACATGAACTAATCACATCAGGGGTGGGTAGCAAATAAACAATCGCTAGCCAACGATTCTGATAAGACCTCAAGACAATATGAATAAATTATACTGGCGTTGCGCTTGAGTTTCTCAGGCTTTTTTTCCAAATGCCTTCCAAAGATTACATACCTCTGATATCGTCTCTTCAGCAATTTGTCAAAAGCGTGGTTTTGAGATTACCGCTAAAAGCCAACTGACTTTTCAAATCGTTCGCGGTGAAATACAGAGCAGTATTTCCTGCATAAAGGCAATACGGTCTTCAGATTTCCCAACGGTGCCTTGCCATTTGCACACTTGATTTGCTCCATACCCAGCCGGGTGAACCAAGCTTTCTATCTGATTGTTTACTTAACTGGCGCATAATTTGCAGACTCAGAGCATTATTGTTGAAGTGGTGAGGGTTTGCTTACTTTATGTCGTCGAACCCGGTACGCTTTTGCGCAATTATATGCCTACTCTGCATAGTTTGATTGACTAGCAGCTGTTATTCCAGGATAACTCGGTAACGCAGTCTAAAGTCCAGTCACCTTGAATAGTGTTGCGACTGGCCATATGGTCAACACAACCTTATCGTTACAAGGCTTGTGGACCGTGAGTACCGATCAAGGGGTTCTCTGAGAATATTGGAAACACTAATGATAAACAGAAACGAGCAGGCACCATGCTATCGAAAACAGTTCGTATGAACTTTGAACATGTCTTGGTCACGTGATACACTGTTAGATCCACTCACTCAGTAGCCTGTGATTTTAGTTTTCCGTTCATTCGACTGTTCCGCTTTTCTCCGCTTTGTGTAGCTGCTGGACAGACATGAACTGCGCACTTTTACCACCATCATTATATTATGAGGATAAGATGTCGAATGCAGTGCAGGTGTAATGGCGATACTACTTGTATGGAAGCACGTGAGTAGTATGTGCTGTTCGTGGAATTTCGCTTTGCGTCTCTTGGAAAGGGGAGATTTGTTGCGGAATTTGTGGAGTCGCTTTGTAACATGTGATTGGATTTGAGCGAGGAATGATTGGGGTCAATGATTATCCAGCAAAGTTCAAGGAGACGCGTTCAGGAGAAAATGGATGTCCAGTTTTTATGAATAAGATGCAAATGAGAGCTTGCATCCCTGTCCAATGGTCTTTAATCGGTCAGTTGGCATTTTTCAATAAACAATTCCGCACCGAAGGCCTTATTTCTTTCACTGGTAGTGTTTTGTGCTCTTGACCACACTGTGGAATTGCTCCTGTATTTGCCGAATTCTCTGAAATTCGGGTTTAACTACAACATAGCGTTGACGGAAACTCAGGGATCGCACCTAAATGATGAGCCCCAACAATGTCGAAACCGGTCACGTGCTGTCGAAGTGTTCCTAGGATCCTTGAAGACAAATAAATAAGCACCGTGTAGAAGAAAAATATACATCACCTGGAGTAGTCAAACCGACACGTTTGCAAACTGTTGGAAATGGCGATGTGAAAAATAAGGTGGGGAAGGCTGGCTAGCCTTATTCAGAGGACCACAGGAAACAGTACTTCACGGTCACGAGATTCTGGTTCGAGAGTATTAACTTCATTCACGATGTAACCATGACTTTCTCTCACGTGAGCGACATTGTGCTACAAGATCGTCTAAAGTTATATGTTATAAGAGAGTTTCCACTGGTCGCCTGTTCTGTTTGCTTAGTTCACCTGAGATATTCACCATAACATCCGGTTGAACTCCACGTCCACGATTTAGTGGCTAATGAGCCTTTCATGTGGGTCGATGGCTCGTTGAATAAGTAACTTGACTGAGTAGAATTGTGTCTAATTTGTGGTAGCTCGGGTGCGTTTATTGGTTGTTGGCTTGGTTTGTTGATGTGTTCGCAAAGCCCGGTAGTTAACTTGCAAACCATTAACTCGAGCCATCATTCCAGGTCATGTGTGATTGTAGCGTTATTTTTCACTACTAACTACAACCAAGTAATGAGAAAAAAGCCGCATTTCCTCTTCCACTGGGTATTATCGCAAAGCCACATGAACTAATCACATCAGGGGTGGGTAGCAAATAAACAATCGCTAGCCAACGATTCTGATAAGACCTCAAGACAATATGAATAAATTATACTGGCGTTGCGCTTGAGTTTCTCAGGCTTTTTTTCCAAATGCCTTCCAAAGATTACATACCTCTGATATCGTCTCTTCAGCAATTTGTCAAAAGCGTGGTTTTGAGATTACCGCTAAAAGCCAACTGACTTTTCAAATCGTTCGCGGTGAAATACAGAGCAGTATTTCCTGCATAAAGGCAATACGGTCTTCAGATTTCCCAACGGTGCCTTGCCATTTGCACACTTGATTTGCTCCATACCCAGCCGGGTGAACCAAGCTTTCTATCTGATTGTTTACTTAACTGGCGCATAATTTGCAGACTCAGAGCATTATTGTTGAAGTGGTGAGGGTTTGCTTACTTTATGTCGTCGAACCCGGTACGCTTTTGCGCAATTATATGCCTACTCTGCATAGTTTGAATTATCATCATACATAATTGTTCAGCTTGTCAGAATAGCAGGTTTAATTAATCCAGGCGGGTTCTATTCTGTTGTGATTTGGAACGCAAAGTGATGTCTAGTTGTAATGTATAGTCCCGTAAGATGCTCAAATTTGTTCACCGCGCAGTATTTTCACTACCAACGAGTTTCAACGGGGTCTTCGGTAACTCTGTCGTCACTGGCTTGTCACTGATGACCACCTTTCGGTGAGGCATGAGACGTTTGCAGTCAGATTGCTGAGCATAACGAAAGAAAGTATTGCTTGGTTTCGCCCTTCTTCGAGTTCATCAGGTGAAAGGCCATCATAAGCGGGGAGATTCAGCTGGATTCAGTTGAGCTTCTCATAAAAACAAAAATAGTGCGCAAAACATCACCATCATCATTGTCAGCTGTAATAACCGCGTACTCGTCGTACATGGTTGTAGCTGCCGCAGTCTCGCTCACCGATGATTTTTTTTGGGGGGGGGG